CCCCATAAGGCACAGCCAGTATTTGGGGGTGGGGGAAAGAGATCCACCCCTTTGAGATAGGTCTGGATTATAATCCCCATAAGGCACAGCCAGTATTTGGGGGTGGGGGAAAGAGATCCACCCCTTTGAGATAGGTCTGGATTATAATCCCCATAAGGCACAGCCAGTATTTGGGGGTGGGGGAAAGAGATCCACCCCTGTGGTGGAGGGCTGGATTATAATCCCCATAAACCACAGCCCAGTTCCCATAACGCACAGCCATCTTCAAAGTATTGATTTTTATTGCGGCGTATTGCAATACTTCACAGCTGCCATTGGGGAAGATGAAACAGCTTGGGGTTGGTTGAGATGTTGCCGTATGGAATTACAAAGAGCTGGAGGTCAGAATCCCTGTGGGACCAGACAGCTGTGCTTTTTGTTTTATAAGGCGCTAGTTCCCTACGTGTGGGGTTCTATCCATCCCTAGTATCAATCTCAGCATATGTGAATAACATCCTGGTTCTCAGGAAACAGCACTGTACCTGTTACCTAAAGAGCTCTGTGGCCCAGTAGGAACTTATTTGGTTTAGTTTAAAATAGTGTTTCTCAACCTTGGTGTCTTTACAGATGTCTGGACTTCAACTCCCAGAATTCCCCAGCCAGCTATGCTGGCTGGGGAATTCTGGGAGTTGAGGTCCAGCTACCTTAAGTAGCTAAGATTGAGAAACACCGGTTTAAAACAATATATCTTTGGCATCGGTTAACTGGGAAATTAAGATTATGATTTCCAAGCGCACTGGAAGCTGCTGAAAGGGATTTCAAATTAAGAAGTTTCAGTGTGTTATTAGGAATCTTAGCTGTCTCCAGTTCATCTCTTAATGACTCAGGTGGGGTTTTTTTGTTGTTGTTGAAGTACAAACTATACACAACGATTCTGAAGGCGGTAAATGTCAGAAATCGATCATCTCTTCCCTCTTGTTTTTTTTTTTTCCCCTTCCATAGCAAATTTCTTATTTATGCCTGCCTGCTGCTGTTCTCAATTTTGCTGTCTCTCCGGCTGGATAACAAGATCGAGTGGAGCTACTGGGCAGTCTTTGCTCCGATATGGCTGTGGAAATTAATGGTTATTGTGGGGGCCTCCGTGGGGACCGGAGTATGGGCCCGCAACCCACAATATCGGTAAGAGTGACCCGTGCTTGCTTTGCAAATGTATGAGTCTTTTTTGCAAATCTTCTTTGGAAGGTTCACACAGGACCCGTGATGAACAAACGTCAGGAAACATTGGGCGAAACGTGAAGTACGTGTGAGCTAACAGAACTTAAAATTGTACTCTTTTAGAGCAGAAGGGGAAACGTGTGTGGAATTCAAAGCCATGCTAATTGCCGTCGGCATCCACCTCCTCCTGCTGATGTTTGAAGTTCTGGTCTGCGATGGAATCGAGCGAGGGACCCGTTTCTGGCTGCTGGTCTTCATGCCCCTCTTCTTCGTGTCTCCGGTCTCCGTGGCTGCTTGCGTGTGGGGCTTCCGGCATGACAGATCTCTGGAGGTGAGGGCGGTCCACGTTAGAAAACAGAGGAGGGAGTCCTAATTCAAAGCTAGTCCCAAATTTTAGTTACGTTGTGGGCGGTTCTTTTCTCTCTCCTTTTTTGTAGATGTACCTGATCGATTGGCGTTGTGTTGCCTTTGGGGCAGTGTGACACCTTTAGACGTACTGGGCTAGAGGTGGGGTGGAATGCAGTCTGGATTCCCAGGAAGGAGGGGCTGTTTCCCAGAAGGTAGAGAGGCAGCTTGGAAAATTTGATCAGCAGAAGGAGGGTTAAAACAGCTCCTCCGTACCTCATCCCTGAGTATATCAGTAGTTATGCAGATAGTTGCTTTAGTCTGGCAAGATTCTGTCTCTAGGTGAAGAACAATAAAGTAAACTATTCTTAAGGAACTCCATGTGCCGTTCCTGGGAGCCCAACAATAAGTTTTATAATTCAGAATATTTATTTTGTGTTTGTGTGTGTGTGTGTGAGAGAGAGAATGTTCCCCTCAATTAAAGAAAGAGCAGACTTTTATTCGGCTGGAGTATTCTGCATTAAGTTGCCAAGGTACTTTGTAACTTGTAGCTCTGCTGGTTGCAGCAAAATCCATTTGACTGTAACACGTTTGCTTTTCTTCTCTCCTAGCTGGAAATCCTGTGTTCTGTCAATATACTCCAGTTCATATTTATTGCCCTCCGATTGGACGAAATCATCAAGTGGCCGTGGCTTGTACGTAAACCGTGATTACACATCATTCTCTTTTCCGAAGGTCAGGGTGGTTAGGTGGGTAGCAGCCGGCACACCAAAATCAGGACTGTAGATTTTTGAGACGGTGACGTAGTTGCAGAATCGAAAATCGGCATCGTCACCTGAAGACGTTAAGCAGCGTAGGATCTAATTAGGACTTGAATGATAACTCCTCTAGGGAAATCCAGCCTGTAGGTGGGAGTGGAGGTAAAATTGTAGGAAGCGTTTTAGGGAATGTTAAGTTTAAAAAAAAAAGAAGAGAAATCCTTGCATGCTACCAAAAATAAACACTTCAATAGAAAAGAATCTTTATAGCTCAGGGTTGAACTGTGGGGTCCTTGGTGCTCTCTGAGCTTGGTGGTTTTCTTGCAGACATTTCATGACCTAACTAGGCAACATCATCAGTGCTAGAAGGGAGGGGGGGTTGGCAGAGAGGAGGATTGGGGGGGTCCTTAGTATTCTCTGAGCTTGGTGGTTTTCTTGCAGACATTTCATGACCCACCTAGGTAACATCATCAGTGCTAGAAGGGAGTGGGGTTTATGGAGGAAGACTGTGGGGTCCTTGGTGCTCTCTGAGCTTGGTAGTTTTCCTGCAGACATTTCATGACCCAACCTATGTAATAACATCAGTGCTAAAAGGAACCCCATATAAGTATTTCAAAACATTCATACTCCTTGCTAGAGCCTGGATTTTCGAACATTTGATGCGTAGAATGGAAATGAATAGTCCTTTTGAGTGACAGGTGACTGTCTCTCTCTCTCCCCTCCCTCCCTCCCCCCTGTTTTAATTTCTAGGTTGTTTGTGTCCCTCTGTGGATCCTGATGTCCTTTCTCTGTTTGGTCGTGCTGTATTATATTGTCTGGTCAGTCTTGTTCTTACGCTCGATGGACGTGATTGCCGAACAAAGAAGAACACACATTACTATGGCAATCAGCTGGATGACAATCGTCGTTCCGTTGCTCACCTTTGAAGTAGGTGAACCGTTTATTGTTCTTTTTAATCTTCTGAGATAGGCTCCTTTTTCTCAAAAACTGCCCAGTTATACCTACGGCTGCAAATAGGATTAACATGGCAGAAAAAGGGGGGCGAGCCTGCCCTGCGTGTCGTGAAAATCTTTAGAAACCAAATATCGCCATACTACTTGCGTGGGCCAAGGGAGCCCGTGGAATTATGACTCTACTTGCAGCGGTCGTTAAGCGAACAC